CCCAAAATTCACTGAACCGCAGCTCTGTGAAAGCAGAGGGTCTTCACAGAAACTCAGTGGGCTAAGTGCTGCCTTACAGTTAGGCAGGAGGTGGCTTGTTTGAGGAGAGTCTAATCGGAGCTCTGCTTGGATCCAAGCAGCCTAAACGCTGAGCGTGGTCGCCAAAAATGCTGATTCCTGGGAAGCAGTCACAAAAGACTGTGCCCTAAGAGAAATGAAGCAGGCAAGATCTTCACAGTAATTTAACTTAGGCTGTGTTGTGTGGACAAAGTTTGAGCTTCTAAATGCAAGCTTTCTATCCACTGTTCCCTCCCTGCCGCCCCAATGCTTTTGCTACTTCACTTGGAAAATGTTTGAGAGGTTACCGGCTTGGAGTGGAAGCTCAAAGGCCAAGTATTGCCTGTGGCTTACAGGGTAAGGGGAGGTCCCTTTCCTCCCTGCCCTCAAAGACATCCCAGTGTCCTGGACGTAGCAGCAGTCCTTCATCAGAGCAACAGAAACGCTGGACTCGCGGTTTGAACGTGTGTTTTGTCTGATATCAAAGACAGAAATACCATACGAGTCATAATGTGTAAAATACTGTTGCCTGGGTTCAATCCAGGAGATTTGGTGGATGGGGCTGATTTTTTCGTGTGGCCAGTTTGAGTTGCTCAGCTTCACGAGGCATATGCTGGGTTTCGTGAAAGAGGAAACGGCCTCTTCTGTCAGTGCAAGCTGTGCGCTGAACTGCTCGCCCTGTGAGCACAGGTCCTTGGTTACCGAGGTAGTCGGCAGTCGGCAGTTCACGCGCCGCTGCCTTCATCTTGGGAAACTGGTGAGGTTTCCAAGAAGTCAGTTTTATAGTGGGATAACGGCAGGATTTACGCCTTCTTCCTTCTTTATTCAAAAGCCTGCATTCCAAAAGACTTCAGCTGGTTGTTCTGGATATCTGGAAGGAATTGGTTCAAACATAAAACTAATGTTCTGCTAATGAGATGGAAAAGGAATGTCGTGTTACTCGCCGCAAGACTGAAAATCTGATGACAGTGAAGGAGAAAATAGCGTAATTGTAAAGGAGGATGGAGAAAGGAGAGCAAGGAGAGCCACCAAAGTCATTGCATCACTTCTGCAGAGCGGAGAGCTTTGATTCATGACGCATGATGTCTCTCTGTGGCCGTCGTGAGCTGCCAGACCCATCTCCTCACACATTGTGAATAAAGGCAGGCAGATGAACTCCTTGATTTGACAGCTTCTTCAAGCGTTCTCATTAATGCTTTGTTAATCGTTCTGACTCTGGCTTTCCTCCCCTCTCCCCTCCCAGCACTGGGGATTTCAAGGTTCAGCTTGCATAACAGGTAATAGCAGGCATTTCCTTCTCCTGTGTCGGGATATCCTGGCGCCCTTCAGTCTCTCTCTGACTGTGTTTAAAACAGACTCCAGCACAGGAAAAAAAAAAAAAAAAAGAAGTCCAGTCTAAAATTAGCAGCCTTGATAGAAGAAAGGCACACGGCTGTCCACTGTGCTGTTTGTCAATGAAACAACACATCTAAACAGGGCCAGAATGCATTTCCTCTCTGCGAAAAACAGGCGTGCTGAGCTTTGGAGAGGCTGCTAGGGAGGGAGAGTAAAGCAGGCAAAGAGCAGGGGGAGCTATACAAAAGGTATCCAGAGTTACAAAAGCTCCTGCTGTACGCGGGAAGGCTGCAGGGAGATTTTGTTGCGGCTCTTGGTGACGCTGTGGGGATGCTTGGGGTCTTGCCGCAGCTGGAAGCTGACTTGGTTGCTTCCAGAGTCAGAGACCCTTTGGTACTGCAATTTCCTCCTCCTGTCTGAATTGCAGTTTCAATATCCTTGCTGGGTGATTATTGCTGTGGGAACTATGTGTAAAGGACCCGGGCTAGATTCTGATCTTGCAGCAGTGTAAACCTGCGGTCTCAGGGGATTTATGCCATTCTAAAAATTCTGACTTTCAAAAATTGTAATTATTTTAAAAAAGAATTATTTTAGTATAGCATGTTGGTTGTATTAATACTAATGATATATTTTGAAGCTGATTTTGTAAGCAGTCTGAATGTGACACTCCATTTATGACAGTTTAACACATTAGTATTTTATAGGATTGGACTCTTGGTGACTTTGTGACTCAGAGAAGCTTTGTGACTTAGAGAAAGGCATTCATGCAAAACGTTTAGTTTGGTGTCAGTGCTTTCGCTATGGAATCAAGATAAAACCATTTCTTCCTTTCCTTGCTCAATTCCATATACAGTCTTTGTCCGTGAGAATTACTGTGGGAGTTTTATTTCTAGCTGTCAATGTTTCCAAGTTGTTCACTGCAGTTCTGTTTGCTAGGTCACAAACATATTCATGTATCGAAATCCAGCCGATCTCCACAGAGTAAAATTTAATGAGCTAAAAGCATATAATCGCGTTTCAGTAAGACTACAAAAATTTGTTCTAGCCTTCTGCTATGCTTTCAAACACTTCCTTTGGTATATTTTGGCCTACTAAATTGTGGGTTAACATTGCATCCAACTTATTTCTTTCATGTATGCCTTCCCGGTTTCAGAGGAAATAATAATGGCTGATGTTTCTTGGTTGGCAGAAGACTCATTCTGACATATCCAAGATAGAAGCTCCTATTCATATACACAGAGATGCTGCAAAATCTCATGGGGAGAGCTTTTAAGAGGGAGGGAATAAACTCCCTTTTTGTTTTAGACCTTTTTGCTACGCTTTGTCACCTGAAAGATTTATAAAGTAGGAAACTCTGCTTGGATTTAATAGGCACTAGGTATTTTTCCATCATTAAAAGTGTACTTACTAGCAAGCTGGAACACGGCAGCTATGGCCTCCTCCCACCACTGAGTATCCTGAGAAATGATGGGTAGTTCCATCAGGCCCAGGACGAAGATGAGCTGACCAGCAGTCAGAGCAACAGTGGCAATGAGGTTACAGGCGCGCATCATGTCGAACTGCACTGGGGAAACGTAAGAAGGAAGCGTAACGTTAAAATGACATAAGCTTTGAGGGGAGGGGAAATGGCTGAGCAGGTATGTAAAAGTTCTCAGCCCATAGGAAATACTTCTCAAATGTTATTCCTGCTCAGAGCACTCTCTTACTCTAATTGCCTTCCCTCTGTCTGATTAAGATCAGGTTTTCAAGGAGATATATGTTCTATATATATTAGTTCATGCGCATTGAATATAAAGAACAAATACAGAAATAATTACAGATATAAAAATGTGGAGAGACCAAATTAAAATATGTCTCCCAGCTGGCTGCTGAATGGAATATATTCCTTGCAAAGTTTGATGCTTTTAGTCAGTTTTTCTTCCTGCTTTTCCTGTTAACCTGATGGATGTCCTGTTTTCATTCTTTTCCTTCCTCTCTAGCTAAAGGTGGGTGTTGTAAATGTCCCTGTGCCAGTTCAACATCTCTTGCTAATGTCTTGTGGCTATTCTGGAATAGAGGCAGCTCAACGTGCAGGTTGACAGGTATTAGAAAAGGAAAGGCTCCCGACATGAATATCCAAAAGTGACTTAACTGATTACGAATGAGTTTAGTAGGTCTACCAGAGTTAGATTTTTTTTCTGGAGAATTATTATCAGAGGATTAATTGTCAGAAGAACTGAAGTCTCA